CAGGAAAAAAAGAGAAGAAACATCTTAAGCATTAGGGGATAGAGTCTGTGTTGCCCCTCTTGGGAGATGCATCAAAGAAGAGCCTGAGAATACGAGGACCATTGGAAAAGGTCATTCTACCTTTCCTTTGTACATTTTGGGTTCTTGCTAGCTGCACAGGTCAGTCCAGTTCCAACCATATGTTAGTGATTGATGGCAACCTCCCAGGAGCTGTCCATGGGTTCTATAGCATCCCAAAATACTTTGCACACTTGGCTCTATATTACTATCCCTCTGAGCTCTGGTACACTCCCATGTGTGTGACAGGATTTTTTTCTGTGGCAGCATTTAAGGACCATGTAGCATATTAAAGCCAGAATCAGACCAATAAAGTTCAGACACAGAATCTGATGCCCCAAGTTACAATGAGTGACTACTGGTGGAATACAGTGCTATTCCACAGGAGTCATGGTATCAGAATCTGACCCTTACTGTTTATTAAGCAGTTCAAGTTATTTTTTCTACATAGATAGGAAAATGAGGAGTGGGAAAAATAAGAGATCTATAAAGGCAGCAGCACTGTAGCAGATCTCCACCATGGTTTGTTTGGGCAAAGTAAAAACAGATGGCAAGCAAAGCAGCTCTCATTTTGCAGAGATAAACGTCTTTACTTCCAGGTGAACATTTACATGGTAACTAGCGTGTTTAGATAAGCAAAGGAAGAAGACAACATTTATTTTTTAATCTCTCTGCTTTGAACAGGATTCCCTGCACAACAAAAATACCCAGGATATATCAATAAAGGGCTATTTTTTGGTCCGTTTAAATGACTTATTAAATCTTATTGATGCTATTCAGTTCTGATCAATTGAGACATTGTAAAGGCAAAATTAAATCTGTCATCTGAATCATAATGGTAAGAAGACAGAACAAATCACGTACTTGCACAGTTGGCCTTCTCCCAAGTACTGTTAAAGAACTGCGAAAGGATCACAACTACTTGTACCCTATCAGACATCAAGAGGCTTTTTGCACAGTTGCTCTCAGAAGAATTCTGGAAGAAAAAAACCCACAGAGTGTTATGAATTCATATGGAAACAACTTTGAAATGATTTTAGATAACAGGTAACAACGGATGCCAAGTCTGTCCTTTTAGGCATAAGCGTTAATATTAACCATAACTCAGCATCCAGGGCTTGGAGTCCCATCTGAAGCATGAAGTTGCTCTCCCCTGGCACTGCGCCACCCCAATCAGCCTTCCACTATGAACCACTGCCTCCTAGCATGCATCAGAGCCTTCTGGAACGGAGACTGCTAACTGCAAATGCAAAGGAACAGCAAGCCTCAAAGCAGCATTTTAAAGTGTGCACATATCTCTCTTCATTCCATTTAGAAGGCAACTCAAAACAGTGATTGTACATCACTGCCTTCTCCCCTCCCCCTCAAAAAAACCCCAAACAGACTGACAGAAATCAGCCAGGCCCATCTGGCTGATTTTCCATCCACAATAAAATGGAACATACAGGCAGTCCCCGGGTTACGTACAAGATAGGGACTGTAGGTTTGTTCTTAAGTTGAATTTGTATGTAAGTCGGAACTGGTACATATTGTACCCCAGGTGTCCCTGATTCAGCCGCTGCTGAAACTGACCAGCGGCTGACTACAGGAAGCTCAAGGCAGAGCTGCTTTGCCCCAGGCTTCCTGGAATCAGCTGCTGATCAGTTTCAGCAGCAGCTGACTTTGGGACACCTGGGGTAGAGCAGCTGGGGGGCTGCCAGGTTGGTCCCCGCAGCGCCCCAGTTGCTCTGTCCCAGGTATCCAGATTCAGCCGCTGTTGAAACTGATCAGGGCTGATTCCAGGAAGCCCGG